GAGCCGTCAAAATCGCCATTGCGCTTGGCGGAGACCCCTCCGAAGAAGATGGTGGAGGGGGTCTCTTCCTCGCACCCTTCTTCCCGTATAAAAATTCCTCGAACTTGGGAAACATCGACCGCAGGTAGCCAAGTTCCCCGGATAGGCGGTCAACCTCCCTCTCCAAGGCCGAGATCTGCCCTCTAAGGCCCCGGTTCTCATCCCGAAGCGCGTCCATCCTCGGGTCGACGGTGGATGTACGACCAACTACTTCTCTTATCACGCCACTCAGCTTCCTCGAGGAGGCTCGGAGCGTCTCGGCCATGCATTCCACAAGGCCCGGCTGCCCAGCCACCCTCTCCACTTGAGTGACGAAGGTCTCTCCTAATCTACGAAGCTCCAGAGTAGTAATACTCTGGAGCTCCTCAGTAAACGCCGCGTCTGTGGGTGCGTTCTCCAAACCCACAGCAGTAAGGGTTGGACCGAAAGAAGGGTCCAACACCCTTCGCGCATACTCTAGCCTCAATGCCTCCCTTTCAGCGGCATTAAGGCGTTCCCTCTCTTGGGCGAGATTTGCGTAGTCCCCCGTTTTAAGCGGTCGCCCTCTCTTACGCTTTGTGGACTTACCTACTGTTTTCCGCGGGTACTGCTTCCGACCTTTAAGCAGCCTCATGTCGTCGGGAGCCCATGAGTCGTCCCTATCACGTCTACTCACTCTGGCTTTAGGAGGGCTTGGTGACATGACCGTGACAAACGACGGCTCACCAATCTCCATCTCCTCGTCACTAACCCCCCTCAACCTTTCAGGGGAGGGGAGAAGCTGAGAGCCGATACATCCATCACTGTAATCACTCATCGAGTCATTACTCAAAACCGCCGAAGAACCACTCAGATCGATAGGATCAAGTGATTGCACGCAATCATGGCGGCCACAGAAGGAGGTCCCACCGCGCATGCATTTTCGCAAAAAATTCTCAGTATACTTAACCAGCCTGTAGTACAAGCCGATGAAGTGATACTCACGAATTTCTTCATCCCGGAGCAAGCGGTGGATGTCCTCCGCCAGCTCTTTTGGGTCGTCATTCGGACCCAAATCCTCCCATCTCACGGCAAGCATGATGAACATCTCATCTACCTCGTCGCGAATCTTCCTCGACGCTGTAGCCTTCCAGTCTGCGGACCCAGTCGACAAATCCGCAGACGACCCGTTGCTCGATGACGACGAGGAGGGAGCCAGGCCTACACCCCCCCCCCCCCCACGCCGGTTCCTGGCATCCGAACCCAGGACGTTCGCTTCTTCTTTGGACCTATTCATATTGAGAAAAGAAGAAATTGGTTTTTTTCTGTCGGGGGTTTTCCTTCCCCTTAGGAGGTTGCCTTACTCAGCTAACGAGGCCTCCCCCCCGGGTGTTATCTTCGGTGTTTTCCTTCACCTAGTGCAGTGGACAAGTCCTTTTTAGGGCCTGCACGCCCATCACTCCTCATTCATCCTTCGCACACACTCCAGCTCGGGTACCTCGGGATTGCGACACCCGTACACTACAGGGATGAATCTGTAGTGCCCCTGAGGGGATATTCTACCAAACTTAATATTGTGTTATGTTTTGTGTTCATTATTATTATTTTTTATTTTATTTTAATTAAGACTGTTACACAAATTAAGACATTAATAATAGAATAAGAATTTTATTTTATTTTTGTAATTTTATTTTATTTTTGTTATTTAGAATAAGAATGTAAGTGCAATGGAAAAAAGAGATATAATGTGATGCAAGAACTATAAACATTAAAACATTTAACAAGTAATAGATATTGTTTCATTTTTTATTCATGTTTTTTAATCAAATGTACATATGATCTAAAAACCTTTAAATTTAAAACTATCACCTATTTACTATTAACTATTATCAAATGACTCGCATATTTCATTTCTCTTCTGCTCTCCTCTTCTTTTTGCTTTTATTTCACCCAAAACTTCGGGATCATCGATATTAAATATTTCATCATTATTGGGCTCGTTTATTAATTCTATGTCGAATGAATCCTTCAAATCAATACACAAATTATGCAATACGCAACATGCCATTATAAATTTTGACATTTTTTTGACATCGTGAAATTGTAATTCTATTAACTGACGAAATCGCGATTTTAACAAGCCAAATGCATTTTCGATAAACACTCTAGTTCCACAAAGCTTTTTGTTATATATTCTTTGTGATCGAATAAGATTTCCATAATCTTTATAAGGTGTTAAAAGATATTCCCTTATTGGGTAAGCACTATTGCCTAACAAGTGATACTTTCTATTTTGACATATACCACTAATATTTTTGCTTATGAAGGATAATGTGAATGTCCTGCTATCGTGAAGTTTGCCAGCCACTCCAGTGAAGGCGTCAATAAATCTCTTCTCATCATCACAAATTCCTTGTAATACAAGACTCGTTTTGTCATGTCGATTAGCGTAAGTAGATCTTATTTTATACTTTGAGTTCGAATGTTTATATACGATCCATCAATACATCCTAATACATTTGGAAAACCTGATATCTGAAAAGAAATAATTATTTATTATTTTAATTTATAACAATTCAATAATAATTAGAAGTAATTTTCTTTTATTTAAGATGTAACCTTTGAAAAACGATAAGCTAGCTCATCTTTTTCTTCGTCATTATTAGGAAACTTTATAACATCTTTCGCTATGCTTAAAAGATAATTCATAACCCTTGATAAAATTGTTTTGCAGGTTGAAATAGCTGTATCGAATCGATCTGCTACGTCTCGCATCGATGATTTGTTTCCTGCAAACCTGTAAAATATATTATATCAATTTTTATACAATTATAATTATTAAAAGAAACTGTTTTCTGCTGTACTAACCACAAAAAAGATAAAATATGCTTTTCAGCAGAAACTGCTGATCTACCACCATGCATTTCATTTTTTGGAAAGAAATTTGATTGCTGAAAACCATCTATTAATTGCTCACATGTTTCTGGACACATTCTGAAGTGCCTACAAAACTATGACAAATATAAAAATTATTATTATTCAGTATAAAAATGCTATTACATTAAGTACATTAATTATATTTTAAAAAAGGGTATAGGTTCGATGTTTATATAAAAAGATATAACATTTACGGTGTCATTATCCATTTTTTTCACACATTCTACATAATTTACAGTTTTTGGAATTATTCTTCTAATTCGAAAAGTTGTAATTATTTCTTCTTGCTCGCTTGAACTAGAAGAAGATTCCAAAAATGTGTCCAAAATATTAAAGACAGCCAAATCCGAATTGCTCATTATGTCGAATTTTCGTTCAAAAGAATGCCCTACTGCTTGCATGCATCCAGTGCACTGAACTGGCACCGTCAAAATATCTCGTGCCACTTAGTGCGCACTGAGTGCGCACTATGCGAGTGTTGTGCGTTCAAACGAACACGCAACACTAGCCAAGTGCGCATTGGCACTACCAATCGAACACGCGCCTGACATTCAGTGCAGCCAGTGCACCCCAATCGAAAACGCTATTAATTAATTCCCACGGGGTGTTAGTAAAAAGTGAAGTCACGTCCAACGAAATCATAACCTGACTATCGTCAATGTTTTTATCTTTAATAATCTCCACAAAGGACCAACTATCCTTAATATGAGATCGAGGTTTCTTAACCGCATTTTGCAATATCTCACTCAAAAAGGTTGCAATGTTATAAACAGAACTTCCTAACGTTAAAATTATGATACGGAGAGGATATCCTGCTTTATGGATCTTTGGTAAGCCTTAGCTTCAAAGCAAGTTACCATTCGTACACCTCAAATGTTTGTATGTGGTTTCATCTATGAGTTTATTGTCTAACCAAGATTTTAACAAAGAAGTAATTCTTGCGTTCAATGCATTTAATGGGTTCTTATTGAGTAATCTATAAGTAGAAACGTCTTTCAATAAATTATTCATTTTCTTTGCATAGTCTGTCCGACTCATCAACACCGTAACCTGGCCCTTATCTGCTTTTGTTGCAAAAATATTTTTGTTTAATTTCAAAAATTTTGAGCATTCGGAGTACTTATTAAAAATGTATCTATCCATGTAACTAATATGTTTTTGTCTACTCAAAAACTTGTGTACCGAACACGCTATCGACAATCTCACATTATCAAGGTTATCCTTAAGAAACTTTCAATAATTGACTTCCAAATTTTTTATATTTTCCAATACGGAGATTTTCCTATCGTTTTTGTCATTTCTACATATGGGCACACCAAACTTATCACCTAAACTTAAAAAATTCATCAATGAATCAGGAACGTGACTATTACTGATATTCACAATCCATTTACTATAATTTTCTTAACGATTAGTGACTAGAGAGCAAGATTCTTGCTAGCTATTAACATCTATTTATTCCATGCTTACTAACGTCAATTCTACATTGTTCATTAAAACAATTGTGAATATTGTGGGTGGTATGCAGTGAACTTGATTTACTATACTAATTTAGTATGCATTTACGTTTGGTATGTAACATATTTTTGTATATAAATTTATAATTATTTGTTGCGATGAAATGTTTGTATTAAAATTATAATTATTTTATGTAACTGTTTACAGATCTACTTGAAAAGAGCTGCAATGACAGCCGAAATGTTGTAGTTTAACTAATTATTTATAATAAATAATTGCCAGTTTGGTCGACTTTTACCATTGAGGAAAGATTTTTACTTATGTATGTTATAACTATGTTCCTTTTTACACATTCTACAAGAGCATTAATAATATAAAAAAATTATATTTTTAAGTAATTAATGTTAATTAATTGAAAACATTATATAATTTGTTCAAATTATTAATGTTTTTGTAAGATATGTAAAAAGTAACAAATATGCAATGGCAATTTGCATATAATTTGTCTAATAATAACTAAATTAACTATTGATAAACTATTAATAAACCAACTATTAATAAAAGTATTAAACTATTAATAAAAGTTCAAAATAAGAAAAAGTCGCAAATATTTTAAACTAACTTGGTTTTTCTTTAATTATTTAATAACCGTTGTTCTTGTTCATATTCTTTTTGGTCTTGTTCTTTATCCTTTCGAGCTTGTTCTTGTTTAAGCTTTATGTGGTCACCATATTTTTGCAGCTAAAGTTGTATCCGTTTTTTTACTACTGTATAAGTAGTACCATATTTTTGGTGATGTAAACTGAAAATAAATAAAATTAATGTAAATGTATTATATCCATACAAAAAGTTGATAAATTTCTTTTTAAAAATAAAAAATATATAGGTAACTCACTACTTATTATATGTTAGGGAAATTGTAATTTGAAATTTTGATCTTGCCAGGTTTTCTAATGATCCAAGTACATTTGCCTGCCAACTCATCAGTCATGATCATTGATAAAATTTTTTTATAGCTTTGTCGAAAGTATCTCCTCCAATAGCAACCATTTTTGCTTTCTGAAAACACATAAAAATAATATTTGAGGCTTTCGATGTATATATTAACATAAGCATTGATTTTCAAGTTTGAATTACGTAGATATTTTGTTTGATTCCGACATTTCGTGAACATTTTAGCTCACTTTATCAGGGAAGAACAACTTGATACAGTATCAAGTTGCTCCCCCCTGATAAAAAAAGGTGAAATGTTTACGAAACGTCGGAATTAAACAAAATGTCTACGCGGTTCAAATCCAAAAATCAATACTAACATTATTAAAATTTACAAATAAAATTAGAATATTAAATAGTTTAATTATTTAAATAAATAATTTCTGACAAATTGTGATTTCATCTGTTCGTGGAGAGGATGTATTAATTTTTGGTCAAATAAAAGCAATTGCTCAACTTCATTTATCGGTTACATTTGAAGTTCATCAAATATTCTTGCTATTTGTTCATTTTGTGGATTATCATTATTTTGTCGTGGCCCATTCTTCATAATCAATAACAGTTTATCCACTTTTTAAGAAGCATTAAAAGTATTTCTCGACAAGAAATTGTAATAATAAAATAATCAATTAGTTATATTAGTTTAATTGTGTGTGATTTTCATGTGTTCAATGAGATGAATTGTAAATAACAATTTTATATGATTTTTAAACAATTTGATATTTTGTCAATAACAAGTTATTAATATTAGATTCTTTAAGAAGATCATAATATTTCTCATTTGTAAATACATATAATTATTATTTAAAAAACAAGTAATACTTTTTAAACTTAATTATATATATATTATATATATATATATATATGTATATATAATAAAGTATATATATGTTAGGATGGATTCACACCTTGACAGAAAACAGAAAAGTAGAAGCCAATCAGAACTCGCGTTGGTTACCAAGTTTACTACCTAGAAGCTTATACTATCAGCGCGATTCTGATTGATTTCTGCTTTTCTGTCAAGGTGTGAATTCATCCTTTATTTACAATATCATTATCCTGTTATTTACAACTGTACTGTAAAAATTTTTTATATAGATTAATTCATATAAAATAAGAAATTATAAATTGTTTCTATTTAATAAATATATAAAAAAAGTTTATAGAATAAAAAATGGACAGAGTTAATAGAATTTACTTACGACAACATTTATCTGCGTCATGCGTTAATTGCTCTAAATTCAGTAAGTTCTGAATATTATTTTAGTGATTACGAGAAGCATAAAACTCTTCATTCTCGTTATTTATAGAAGCGTTATCATTGTTATTATTATACTGCTCGTTTTCATCATCAACGTTTTCATCATGAATGTTTTTATCATCAACGTTTTCATATTCATGTTCATCAAATCTAATATTGTCTTCAACGTCTGTTTATCCGATTAACATGTTATACGACAGTTACAGATATGTAACTGTTGTATAACATGTAACTAACACATATGCATGTTACATTTAACGCACATCTATAACGCAATATTTAGTAAGTTATCATTGTGTGTGTTTACATACGAGCTTGAGCATTGTTACAGATTAGGTGATTTTGTATTATTTTTTCATTGTATATTTTTCTCGCCTATTTCTCCATATGTAAGTTTGAGATTAATTTATATATGGAACTTAGTAATCTCAAACCAAGAGATAGAGTTCCGAAGAATTAATTTTTTGCGCTTGGGCTCTATTGGCCGATTTAAAATATCATATGTTATTTATTAAATTATAATTAAAATATAATTAAAAAATATCATATGTTATTTATTAAATTATAATTAAAATATAATTAAAAAATATCATATGTTATTTATTAAATTATAATTATAATTAAATTACTAAATTTTTTGGGATATTTCCTCATGTACGTATTTTCTTTATTTTTTCTTTTTAACATTTTACAATAGATTATTGTTGCTGCGTACTTGACTATACCATATATAACAGATCAATTATCCCGCGATCAGTTTTACTAGAAAGCTGCGTTTTGAACACAGAAAAAAAGGAATCCTTGATTCAAGTATACTTTTATTTTTGAACGCTATTTGATTGATTTAAGCACAGAATGCTCTTTGTAATCACAAATTTTCATTTGTCTTAATAATAAATAAGTTTGTGTAAAGTATATTGTATCCTTAAAATATATTCTTCTTTTAAAAATCATTATATAGTAAAAACAAACTTAGTCACTCATTTGAATTAAGAATTATATATTTGAAAGTATCGCTTATATCCGATGTTCACTTGTCCTTGCAATACTTATAAGTAAATTTCAGCTTCAACCAAGAATATTTTGCACTTTGTTTTAAGGATAAATTATCCTTTATCCAAAATTATTTATATTTGGCGCTATTATAAGGATAAAATATACTTGAATCAAGGCATATTTGCATTTTTTCAAGAATACTGTTTTTTCTGTGAAATATTATCAATATAAGGGGTCAATTGTGTATTTTGGATAAGTTGCTCACGAGGTAAAAATTACAAAAGTAAGATAATTAGAATATCTACAATTTTATTTGTAAAATCTAGTAAATCTGTCTCTTTTGTAATTTTTACCTTGTGAGCAATTCGTATAAATCCGATCGTAAACAATCGACTCTCTAAAAATCTATACATGATATGAACTTTAGATTTTTAGAACTGATGATAGTGAATTTTAAAATGTAGCATATGCATGTTATTGAAAAAGATATTAAAATATAAGTACAAATAGACCAATTTATATTATTTTGTTTGATTGTGTTCCAATGTGAAATATAAAAAATGAAATATAATGAAATAAAATTATTAATAAAAAATTTAAGATTTGCAATAAAGAAGAGAAAAAATATAAAAGTATTCACGCAAAAAGATTCGAAATCTTTTTCTAGAAATGACTTCAATGGGCCAATGGAAACTTGAAGTTTGTTAGAGAAAGTCTTTGCCTTGCATATATTTAATAAACGAGAATCTATTGGATAATTATCAATACTAACATAATCAATATAAATATAAATTTAACGTATAAGACGGGCAACAAGAGCCAAATTGCGGATGACAATGCTTTATCCTAACGAAACTAAATAATTTTCCGTTAGAATTAAATACCGGTGCACAAGGCACCAAATTTTACTTGGACACGGCCAAGATTTTTAAAATATGAAATAATCTCATATTTGAGATTTAATTTCAATACCCCCTTTAACCCCCCTACGGAAAATAAATAAATGAATGCAAGAGAAAAATATAGATCCGAAAATCGCTGAATCGGGAAACGAACCCGAGACCTTTCGCTTGCCGGGCGACTGCTCTTCCAGCTGAGCTATTCAGATCCTCTCAAATATGAGATTATTTCATATTTTAAAAATCTTGGCCGTGTCCAAGTAAAATTTGGTGCCTTGTGCACCGGTATTTAATTCTAACGGAAAATTATTTAGTTTCGTTAGGATAAAGTATTGTCATCCGCAATTTGGCTCTTGTTGCCCGTCTTATACGTTAAATTTATATTTATATTACAGAGCCTTGTTAAAACTCTTATATAATCAATATACTTATACCCAAGAATGACTAGTCTTTCATTTAAAAAACAAATATTTTTAATTACAATGACGCTTCCATCTGTGAGATAACAACAATTATTTGGTTTTGCAACTGTTAAAACAAAATTAGAAAATTCAATAGCTCTATGAGGCTTTGAATTAACTATCTAAATAAAACTATCTAATGGTCCAAATTGTAAAACATCATCGGAAAGATGAATTAAATTGTGTACATTATAAACAATATGGTGCTCTCCGTAAAAATTTTTCATACATTCTACATAATAAATTAATAAATCTTTTGCATATTGATTGTTTTTTATGCACTCATTTGCATCATGTAGTATACGTAATGTACAATTTAATACATTAAAGTAAAGCATTAATTCATTAGGCATGGTATTTTGAAATACAACTAGTGCTGTATACAAAATAGCCATTCGCAATGTCTTAATGCTTTAAATCTACCTAACTCATTAAAAGTACGTGTTTTTTGTACGAAATCGCATGACACCCATTCTTTAAAAGAACTGTATTGATCATTTATATTCTTAATTCTTTTCAAAGCATCTTCATTGCTATTACCATAAAAGTTTAACAAAAGCTTAAGATGTTTCTTTCCTACTCCTTCATCAATCAAATGCATCGGATCAAGAAGAGCTTGATTTGTTAAACTCATTCTGATATTTATTGCTGTCTAATATTTATGTTATAAATCTTTTACCACAAATAAATATTAATGAAAGAACTTAATTATAGCTCTTATTGCCTTTTATATATATATTAATTTTCAAAGAGCTGTTACAAATTATATTAATTTAACGCCAAGCTAAAAAATGCGTCTTGTTAATTCATTTTTGATTTTGTTAAATTTTGTTTTGGGTTTGAAAATGTTAAATTATTCAAATTCTGGATCAAATTTTGTAAAATAATTATTATAAACAAACTAAGAATTAATTTTTTGCGTAACTGTTTGAAATATGATGTCACTCCGCCGCATATTAGTTGTTTATTAAATAACTATGTAAATAATTTTACGAGCCGCAAATCAACACGTAATTACGAACTCTCTAAAAAAACATTTTTTAAGAGACTGATACACTTGGAGATTGATAATAGTTATAACATTATTAACAGAACTTATGGTAGAATATTCAATGTGTGTTTTGACATGTACAAAAATTTACCTATCTCACTTTACATATCGTTCTTTAATAAACAATCTGGCCCACTTTTCTCTTTTTATATTAAAGAGCGAGACAGACTCGAGAGAAAGTTCAGATATCTTTTACAGAAATATCTAAATGACCTCAACATTAAACCGGTCCATTATTTCTATCATCAGTCGTTATCTACAAAAAAACTAAATAGAACCACGTCTTTATTCTTTCTCGAAAAATAAACAATTTGCTGAGAAACAAATACACTTAATAACAGTAAGAGGAATGAAAATATTGAAATTGAAATTAAACCTACTTCTTTTCTTAATATTAAACCTAACATTTTGACAAAGAATGGCAAATGGTTTATAAATTTGTCATCCACATACCTGATGAGATCAGATATCTCCTACAACTGGGTGAAAACTTTAGTTTACCTAATACTAATAATATTGATCTAACTGTAAATTTTATCCAAAATATCGAAAATAATCTGAAAAGACTTCCAGTCGTTGATCGCAAGACCATCATTAAAAGGTCTAATAACATCCTTAAATCTATTGGTACATATTCGTATCCTAAAAGCGAAACCAACAAAAAATTAATATATATAAATACAATTACAAATAATTTCCTTAAAAAAAATTATAATTTAATACTAACAAAAGCAGATAAGGGTAATATAACTGTGGCTTTGGGTAGAGATAAATACATTGAAAGGATTGAAGACATGTTAAGCAATGATGAAACTTATTTAGTTTTAAATAAGGATCCGATTAGAAAATTAATTTCGAATCTTCATGAATTACTTACTAGATGGAAAAATAACAATTACATTTCAGTACAGACATATTGTTCATTAGTGAGGGAACATTACCGAGAGTTTACGGTTTACCTAAAATCCACAAAGAAAATTGTCCGTTTGGACTAATTGTATCCTCTATAAATACTTTTTTATATCAGTTAACACTTCACTTATACCAAATTATGAACAATTGTTTCTCTGTCTGTAATAACTACATAGAAAATAGTTTCGAAATGGTTAACAAAATTTCAGATATTTACCAGATCCATAATGACTACAAATTATTATCTCTTGATGTTATTTCACTTTTTACTAACGTACCTATCGATTTTGCTCTCGAGAGTGTTTCCAATAGATGGCAATATATTGAAAATAATTGCAATCTCCCTAAGTCTGAATTTTTAATTGGAGTAAGCCTCGTATTAAATTCTACGTATTTTACATTTAACAATGTTTTTTATCGACAATCCTTCGGCACACCAATGGGTTCTCCTTTATCTTTTATCATAGCTGATATTGTACTGCAAGATTTAGAAAATAAAGCTCTTCAACTACTAAAGTTTTGTCCACCCATATACATCAGATACGTGGATGATATAATAATGGCTGCTCCATCAGATTCCATAGATCACACATTAAATTTATTTAATTCTTTTTACAAAAGAATCCAGTTTACTCTTGAAATTCAAGATAATAATAAAATTAATTTTCTCGACCTTAAGTTATATAATTTTAATTCGTATTTCGATTATGTACATAATTTTAACATATTGAATTTGTATTATGTGCAAAATTTAATTTGCTGAATTTCTTTATGCAAATAATTTTAATTCGCTAAATTTTTATTATGTACATAATTTTAATTCTTGAATTTCCACATTATGTGCATAATTTAATTTGACGAATTTCTATTATGTACATAATTTTAATTTGCTGAATTTTTATTATGTACTTAAATTTAATTAATTAATATATTTTCATTATGTACATAATTTTTATTCATCAACTCTCTATTATGTACATAATTCTAATTCCCTTTCTATTATGCACATAATCTTAATTCCCGAATGTCTATTATGTACATAATTTTTATTTGTATTGTATTTCTGTAATTATTATTATATACATAATTATAATTTGTTACATATATATAATGTACATAATTTAATTTCCGGATTTTTATTATGTACACAATTTGTATTTGTGAATTTCTATTACGTTCATAATTTTAATTTGTCCAGTTTCTGTTACATGTACATAATTTTAATTCATCAAATTTCTATTATGTACATACGTTAATTTTATTTCCCGCATTTCTATTATGTATACAATTTTTATTCATGAATTTCTATTATATTCATAATTTGAATTTGTCGAATTTCTATTATATATGTATGTACATAATTTTAATTAGACGAATTTATATTATGTACAAAATGTTATTGTTGAATTTTCATTGTGTACATAATTTTAATTCTTATTTAGACTTTCGTGGAAGAATACTTAATCGGTACAATGCGAGTCGGGAATTAAAAATAACGAGAGGCATTAATTACGTGTAACTGAAAGTATTGTATATTCACTAAGAAAGCACAGTCTTTTTAAGTCGATACATGAATATTAGATCGCTCGGATTCACAATGTACGTCCGTACGCGGTGACAGTCCGCGATAACCAAATCTTTTGAACGCAAAATCGCTCTTCATATCTTTCGCCTCAAAAATCAACCTTTGAGAGGCTTCGAGAATTTTATGTTTGTTTATTTCTTTTGTCTCTTAACATCTTGATATTTGTCTCTGTGCTTCTTGTCTTTCGTCTCTCTCTCTGTCTCGTCTATTATGTTTTTATTTATATTTATTTTTGTCTCGGTACTTTTCGCATGTGTGTGGCCGTATTCGTATAAGTATTTTCGCTCGCTAATTTTCGGGGTGTATGTGACGATGTAATTGCCACACTTACATTTACATTATGTTTAAATTTTGATTCGCCAAATTTTTATTATGTACATAATTTGTATTCTTGAATTTCTATTATGTTTATAATTTTAATTCGCCGAATTTCTATTTACATATACATAATTTTATAGGCCGAATTTCTATTAGGTACATTTTTAGTTATTTACATAATAGAAATACGGCGAATTAAAATTTTATGTAAATGACAAAAAATCAAGAATTAAAATTGTGCATAATAAAAATTCGGTGCAAATTAAAATTAGGTTCATAATAGAAATTCATCGAATTAAAATTATGTACACTTGCGGAGTAAATTTTCTTTGGCGCGCGCTTGTGTTATCTAGTATAATAAAAAATAGATGTTTCTATTTAAGATTTTATGTTGACATAGCTTGATCGGGCTTTTCAAGATCATCTCAAGATCAAATAGATATCATTAGCTAATAGATAATAGATTTTTAAACTTCTAGTCTTTTTGTTCGAAACATTTTCCCAATTAATTAATATTTTTTGACATATTTTGCTATACCGGAATTGAATTCCAAAATGAGACAAAAAATTTATTGATCTTGCGACCGTCTCTCCGCCCTCTCTCGTCAAACGAGAGAGAGAGTGCGAGAGAGACTGCTGCGCAACCTCGTCGTGCCGCCCTCCGTTCTCTCAATACTTGCTCGGTATCACTAATTGCTCGGTATCGTATTTTTTGGACGCCAGGTGCGGTCAGGCCGCACCACTCAACAATATCTCGGTAAATAATCAGCGGACACGACGGCTCGGCCTCGGTAGCTCGGTATCAACAGGGGGTAGAGTGTCGTGGTTCTTTCCGTAAGGAGATTCGGAATCGCAGTCCCGGAGAGAGAGAGGAAATCTCGATATTGATTGTACTCAGAAATAAGATAAAATAAGAATATATTTTCAATTAGTAGCATATAAATAGAGTGAATGAAAATAACTATAACACTATTATCGAGCCGTAGGGAGATCGCTGGGTTTTCTCGAAATCTTTAGTTATCATTGCTCTCCTCCCTTTGTATCCGGCTCGGAATCGAATAGATCATACTCTAATCCAGCGTAACTTATTCTCAAGGATTGTTAATCAATGACTCGATACAATGCTAATATTACAATATATTACGATATGACTGTCGACTCGTTTCGGTGCCCCTCGGAGAGGCGAAGAAGGCAAAGATTTACGCAATAACTTAATGCCGCGGAAATCGACGCGAGTCCGTGAGTCACTCAACTAATTCTCGGTACTAAATTGTTTACAGCATAATTGCTCGGTATCGTTATACTTCTCTAATAACTCACGGGTCTCTGCCGAATCCGCGCTTACCGGACGATCGAGGAGGTGGCCTTACAATAATTCGCCGTCGCAGGTGGTCGTTGTGGGTCTTCGTCCTTGTTCCTGCTCGCAGGACACCGGCTTGCCGAACAGTGATTTCCTTTCGGGCCGGCGGGACTTCGGAAGGTACGCTGGTGGGGAGGGGGAAGACAATGCGCGCCACCCCGGCCCGGTTGCCAGGTTTCGCGGCAGCGTTGCGCCCCGCGCCGGACCCGGAATCGATCTTCGTATCGATTCCTGTGTCTCGCGGCTGGTCGCGGACTTCCGCCGCCAAATACAAATTTCAGCCCTCGGGAGCGACGGCTGAAGCAGGTCCATTCTCGGCGGTCCCGTCCACACCTCGTATGGCCGTATGATGTTCCGAACGACCTTTATTTGCTGAGGGAAGTCGTCTCGGGGTGATCAGTCCCGTTAGATCTCCGTGTTTCTCTCGATGTGTGGTGGCGGGCCCCTCAGGGGAATCATCTTGGTCGCGGAATGTAGGCGCCTTTTCCTCCCTGTTTTGGACTGCTCCTGTTCGTCCCATCGAGGCTGTAACGAGTTTATTCGCAGTATCCCTTCCTTATTTTCTCGGTACCGCGTATATTTTATTGTTCTTAATACTCACCGGGCCGGTCGCTCAGTCTCCGCTCCTCCCCTTCCGAGGTCGTTCCTCCGTCGTCTGCCCAGGTCCTCTTCTCCCTAAAACAATGGCCGTTCTCCTGGCCTACCACCTCGATCCCGATACTGAGTGCGGGCGAGCTAGCGAAAAGGTCGCTGCTCACCCGCACGAAACACAAAATTGTACAGCGCTCTCAGACGCTTCCCGGCCGGGCGCGTCCGCCCTTGTGACGGGCTCAAAAAGACCACGTCACAATCTTCTAGAATTCGGGGTCAAAAATAGGGGTTCTCATTTAAAATTTTGAAGTTGACCTTCAAATTACCTTGAATAATACGATCAAAATCATAATCAAGGTCATCATTTTACTTCATACAACTTTGCTATTGGATATTTTTTACAAAATGCATTTATATAAAATATTAGGGGGGGGGGACGGAAGTCCGATACTTTTCGATTATGTATTCTTTTTAAACCAATTAATTGGTCTCATTATTCTGCGCACAAAAGTATTAAGGTTATGATTACTGAAAACTAAATAATATTTTACAAGATATTTTATATTTTGTCAAAAAATGTTTTGACTTCAAATTTCAAACTTTTATAACTCAAGAAGTACTTAATAAAAAAAAAGTTGTATTGCAGTGTTTTGGAAAGCTCTCGATAAGCTATAAGAAAAAATTACAAAAAATGTTTATTATTGTTTACAGATATTTATTTAATGACTTCTTTAATAACATTTTGATTGTTATATATACATATTATTGATATTTCGATTAATTTTTAATTTGCAAGATATAGACATTTGAAATAAAAATAGATAATAAAAACCATTTAAATGTAAATATAAAATAGTTTTTGTAAACATGTATTTTAAATGCAAAATATATAATAAGCATTTTACATTTTACATTTCCATTTTAAATCCATCTTTGTCAAATAATGGATATTCTTGCATATAGGCATATAAATATATACATATAAATAAATATACATAGATACATATAAATATATTAGATTGTGCTCCACATGAAATGTCCGATTTTGCAATGTAAACTTTTTAAAGTTTTCTTTGTCAATAAAAATCTTTATATTTTTACATATTTTATATATTATTTTAAAGCTCAAAATTTACTTTTTTTATATTTTTTTAAACATTTTTTTAATATGACGTGATTTTCGCGTACATTTTTGTATGAGTAGAAAAGTAGTCATAATGCTGCCGCTCGAAACATTAATGCTGCATTCGGCGAGAACTCTGTCGATGGACGCACCAGTAAGTATAAAAAATTAAAATCTGGAGACAAAAGTCTCATAAATGACGATTGTAGACAGTTGCTGATGACATTAAAAGTTGAGACATTAAAAGTTGAAGCGGTGGATGCATAGCGTTTATTGTATACCGAAAAAATTGAATACACTAATTAAACGTGTCAAAGATTCTTTACATTTAAAAGAAAAAACAAAAATAGTATACAAAATTAATTGCGCAAATTGTTCCTCATCATACATCGCTCAGACTAAACGACAATTAGGCACACGTATAAAAGAACATTTTAATAACATTAAGGGACACAATAGTAATTATTCAGTCATTAGTAATCATAAATTGGATAATGGTCATGATTTTGATTGGTCCGCGCCCGAAATTTTACATCATGAGAAATATGTACAAAAACGAGAAATCGCGGAGATGTTTTTTATCAAAAAATTTGACAATACAATCAACTTACAAAAAGACACGGATAATCTAAATAATGTTTACGAAAAACTAATAAAGGTCGTTTAGTTTGATCAAGGTAATGAGTATATAAAAAGCTTGAAACCGACACAATAACACAGTTAATTGTTTCACATTACATCTTGTCACATTCTAAGATCAAAGATTAAGGTTTTTTTTTATAAAAAGTTATGTTTTAGGTAAGTTTACATATTATTGTGTGGAAATATTTATTGTTTTATTACAGTTACTTTGTTACTTTTTAATATTTAATTTTCTAATAATTGTCATTATTATATATTTTAGCACTTGATAAGGGCCGAAACCCATGGCCGAAACGTCGTGAATATTAAATAAATATCACTTAATTTGCCAGAGTTGGTTGATTAAATTACTACCATTTTTTAAATATAAAATATTTATATAATAAGAATCTCTGTACAAACGTTTCGACTTTACTTGGTCTTCCTCATTATAACAATAAATAACTAAATTTTTAATAAATAAAGTGGTAAAGCGAAAATAAAATCACATTGTTAAAAAACTAAAAAATTAGCAATATGTCAATACATAATTAAATTGTCAATTGGTATGAGTCTCAGAATGAACTGAACAGAAGACAAGGACAAAGCAGATTAGACAGACTTTTTTTTACAAAATGTCAATAGGAATGCATCTTCTTCGTTGTGAAGCGAGAAGTTAACCTTTGACTTGTCCATTGCTATGGTGTCTGTCTCTATTAAAAAGAAAAATTATTTTTCCCGTTTTCGCAATATACGAGCCATATGTTTTTTTATGTTTTATGTTCATTTCGTTTAAATTACGCTGACCTCACAATACGTTACAAGAATTTACCGTTTAAACACCATCGTTATAACTTTAAATTTATATACAATTTATTTGGCGAACAAACAAATTTCTTACTGAAACAATGGATCAATCTGTCTTACAGAAGAGTGAGAACAACATCAAAGTTGTATTTTTTGAAACAATGTAGAAATTACCATATATTGCCTAAACATTTGTCGTTATTAAGTAAAAAAAATTCGAATTACACCATTATAAATCAATCAAAAAACTACATAGTATGCTCCATAAATTTGGTACTGACATATTGAACATCGAAATATTCGATTTATATATTATAGAACAAATGATTTGTTACGCAAAGAGCTTCTAAAAACCTTACATACCCTATTCAATCATCTTCCTAGTAATATTACTGATGAAATTATAAAACATCACACAGTTTCTTTTAACAATTATAAAAGGAAATTATATCACAATCATAAAAATAAATTTTACAGATTGATGAAAAAAAACAAATTGAATTATATTAACAATATCAAACCGATAAGTTTTAATTACTGTTTGAAAGACAACAAACTACACAATATTTCATACGCAAACAACAAACAAATGACTAGAGACAATAATAGAATTAACACTTATATATCTCCTAATGACAATGACAAGTTTAATATACTTATATCTCCTAATGACTGAGAAAACATTTAAACCAAACAATTAAACCAAACTAACAATAAATGGTTCATTAATTTATCAGACATGAAAATTCCCGAAAAGGTTACAAATCTTCTACAACTAGGTGGTAAATTTAGTCTTCCAATTAACAACAAAAAATAGCCATACATGAATTTATCAAATATTTGGAAAGCAATTCAAAAAGAAATAAAATTGCGAGCCTCAGAATGATTAGAAATTTAGCAATTCCTCAATTCACTCAATTTTTACACAATCGACAACAAAAAAATTTGATACAAGAAAAAATCCATAGGATGTACAAATCCACGAGGAATTTTTGTCTCCATAATCCGGACATCATTTTTACAAGGGCTGATAAAGGAAATATTACGTCGGCCATGAATAGAGATCATTACGTAAAAAAAATGACTGACTTACTTAACGATAACAACACATAACATAGTCACAAAAATCAATCCCTTAAAATTGAAAGATATTTAAATAACACGGTAAAAAAATGGTTAACAAAAGAATACATATCCAAAAAAAAATATTTTTACCTAAGATCTAGTGACTCCCTTTTGCCCAAGGCCTACTGCCTACCTAAAACCTATAAGAAAAACAATCCCTTTAGAATTATTGTCTCCTCAATTGATACGGCCCTATATTCGATTGCTAATTACCTACAAAGAATATTAACTTTATTGATCTCGAAAGCAAATAGTCATGTTAAAAATAGTTTCGAATTGTGTAGCATACTTTCTGGTAAAGAGATAGGCGCATCGGATATTTTAGTGTCATTAAATGTAAAATCACTATTTACCAATATTTCGGTAGATCTTGCAATAAAAAGCATTAACAGAAGATGGGGAATACATAGGATTGCACACCACGATTCCTAAGAATGAATTTGTCAGCTATAGAATTCATTTTAACATCAACTTATTTCTAACTAATTTGGAGTCTTGAAGTGCCTCTTGTGTGGGTCGGACGTGTTTGCCGCTTTCTGTTTTATCGAAGTTTGCTGACACTTATCTAGTCATTATAATGTCGAAAAATACAGTTCCTAATAAGAGAATTTGCAAGGGTTGCTCCGCTCAGGTGCAAAGACTGGTCTCTTGTCCTTTGTGCAAGGTCGACTCGCACCCGGATCAAACGTATTTGACTCGAACTGGACATCCGTGGCATAATGGAAAACTGCTGGATTGCAAGGCTGATTTCAGTCACTCAGGAAGATCGAATGCGTGTTCCTCTCCAGGGCCTGCATCTCCATTGATGCATAGAGTTTTTATGGCGGAAATCAATAAACTCAATTCCACGATAAAGGAAGAGATTAATAAATTAAAATTGGACTATAAGGCTGAGATTGACACTCTTAACGATACGGTGGCAGCCCTTCTCATGAAGGTCACTGAACTTGAAAACAAACAAGAATTGTTTCATCCTGTGGACAGCGAAGACTTAATTGAAGAAGCAATATCCGAGATAGATAAAAAAAAGCAAAGGTCCAAAAATCTTATATTCTTCAATGTTGAAGAAATAGAGGACTCTGAGCGTTCCAGAGCAAATAAAAAGACCGAAACCAATGAAGATGATAGAAAAGTACGGGACATTTTGTCAAAAATTATGTCACAGGATTTATGACTGGTAAATGTCCGTAGAATTGGGAAAAAATCTTTAAATAAGAAGCGCCCAATTGTTGCAACTCTGCCATCGGAAGATGTGGTTCTGACGGTATTAAAAAACAAGTACAAATATAAAGGCTCAGCTAAAAGATCTTGAGATAGTATCTCAAGATCTAACTAATTACCAAAGAAATTATATAAATAATTTGAGAGACAGAGTACGTGAAGCGGATGATCCGACCTTGACGATCCGATACAGAAACGGCAGACCTGTTATTGTGAAAACCTCGTCGGTGTCAGAAAATGGATAACATCACTCTTAATACACTATCAGAACGTTCGTGGTCTAAGGATTAAAGTAGATGCGTTTTTTAAATCATTAACTACATTGAGTTCTGCTTATGATGTACTTGTCTTGACTGAGACTTGGTTAACGGACAGTATAACGTCTGCTGAATTATATCTTGAAGTTTAAAGTATAAGTCAAGCAATAAGAGCCAAATCGCGGATGACAGTGCGTTATCCCAACAAAACTAAAATTTTTTCCGTTAGAATTAATTACTTGTGCACAAAATTTGGTGCCTTGTGTCATAATTTTAGCTTTTGTTTGAAAAAAAAATTTTTTCACACGTATATAATCTTAATACATAAATTGTAAATATTTTCTAAAAAAATTAAAATATATATATATATATATATATATAATGTTCAATAAAATTTCATACATTTATGTAATAATTTTTCCATGTAATTTTTTTAATACAATACAATGTATATTTAATGTATAATTCAAATATCAGAAAGAGATATTGTTTAATTTAATTTTTTAATTAACTATTAATCTTATTAATTAGTATTTCTTATAAAATTATAATTAATATTAGTAAATTTAATTATTAATTATTTTTGTAGTAATTAATGTTAACTAATATTATATCGATTCGATGAAACAATAATATATTTTATACGTTCAATGATCATTCTCAATATTTGTTGTGCATTTCTTTGGATATTTTTAAATTGTCAATTGTTTATTAGTTATGTTAACCAAATCTCCAGCCTCATCTTTTGTTTTTCATTTCACACATAGCATTTCAAAAAATAAAAAAAAGCAATTAAAACCGTACATTTTATTCTTTATAGAAGGTAAGTACTACAGATTTTTTACAGATATATATAATAACATTTTTATATATGTACATAACTTATATTCATAATAATATACAAGGTGTCCCGTTTTAAAGGACGCAACTCGATAATCCTTCAACGAAGCATTTTCAACAAAAATGTTTCAAACAAGTTGTATGGTTTCGAGGGGGACATAAGATGATATCATTGATTTGACCTTGAAGTCATTTGAAAGTCAAATCAATGGCACCATCTTTAGTCTCTCTTGAAATTGTACAACTTTTGTCTAAATATTTCTTCTGAAAATTCTTTGTTGAAGAATTATCAAGATGCATCCTTTAAAATGAGACACCCTGTATATGACTGTATAAACATAACATATTATATATTACTATTAATCTCTATTATTGTTTGTTTTAGATAAGAACATGGAATTAAACAATATATGTATGTGAGAGTCAGAGAGTCAAACGCTGAACGACGCACGTGCCAGACACAAACCTGCCGACGCGTGTATTGTACATACACGGCTCGTTTTTTGTGTGCGCGGTAAGTATAGTAGTCTGCAAAGTCTCGAATCTCTGTCCAACGCAGATCTAATTATAAACAATATTACAAATTATTTATTTTGTGAATTGCTTTGTGGTAACGATTTAGCAAATCAATAAATTTAATTGTTGATCTTTTTGTCGTTTAATCAGAGTCTGTATTATAATGCGAAAATAAACTATCAAAGATATCATCGCGGCACAAAGTATATTTTTTTTGTGTTTGCGTTACATGGTAAATTCGTTTCGTCTGTGCGATTTTCTCGTTGCAAAAATTCATTGTTTTTTTCTTAAAGCTAATGTATAATGTAAAATGAGATATCCAATAAAGTATTTTTTCTACACACCCAGATAGCCACAGTAATTATTATGACATCATTTTGATGTCAAAATTATGTCATAATAATTACTGTGGCTATCTGGGCAGTATAATAATTAGATACGTTAAGAGTTACAATAATTGTAATTATATAGGTTTGTTCTTTTCAGCTGAACTGGCTACACTATAGTTCAGAGGTTGTCTTTTCTGCTCGACATTGAAAGGAAAAAGATAACTTCTGAAATTCTGAACCAGTGTAGCCAGTTCAGCTGAAAAGAACAGACTTTATATATTACGCATGTCAATCGTACTCAACTGTTCGATTCACGTGAAGTTACAAGCTGTCTCGCTTCTTAAGCAGTTGTCGGCTTTGCCTTAACTAGGCGCGAGACACTATACCGTGTCTCTTGATATCTATTACATACACAATTATTATTGCTACTTCTATTTTGTTTTAATAGTACTAATATCCACCGGCGCGCGTGATATCATTGCAATTTTTGATTGACATTCTATATTCTATAAAAAATATTATTTTAGCATGCATATTCTGCAACTTTTTAATGCATGCGTTATAATTATACTGCATGATTTATTAGAAACTGTACAATTTTCATTGGTCCAAACCTAGTAAATCATGCGTTATAATTATAGCAAGCGTTAAAAAATCACAGAATAGAGGTACAGGACATTGCGATCGTCAATTGAGCATTTTATAACGATAAAGCGGGGAGCACACACTTTTGCATAAACGCATAAGCGTAAACATGAGAGTCTTGATTGGTCTATAAACGTATGCATAAAAAATTCAACCAATCGAATTTCTTATGCATATGCTTATGCGCTTATGCAAGAGTGTGTGCTCCCCGCTTAATAATGCAAAGTACAGCTTGCTATGCAACAATCAAAAATCGCATATACGTGTAAAACGTGTTGTATTTTTTATGGCATAGTGAGCCCGTCTACAATTTCGCATTATTGTGTAGCGTTTTGTAACAAGCGGTGCTCGATAAGATTTTTTTTGAGAGAAATAATTCAATATTAATATTTTTTTAGCTTAGTCAATATTAAGATAAAAAGCATATTGCGATATAGAGAAATTACCGGGAAAACAGAACAGCACGATATTTATACATGATGGATATATTTATCATACGATAAGCGATGCGTTGGAATTTTTTGTTGCTTATTGCGACGAAGTTTGGAATGTTACGCCACATTGAAGCGGAATTCAACCGGAACGTACATTTTGAAGTCACCACACAATTATTTAGTCAATGACACAGTATTGCAGCTTGAATTGAAGCAGAAGATGCTACAAATGTGCCAAGAAACATTATCAAAGCCAAAAGAAATATTTGATACAGTATGCCAAAAGTAAGTCAACGTGCAAATCATCGAACACTAAGTAAATCAAATACACAAACTGTAATTTTATTCACGCGTTTGCTTCTTTGCAGAAATCCAGTAGCGGTTGTAAAAATGTCTTACTCTGTCATAAGAAACGTTCTTCATAGAGAACAATTACGTCGAAGGCCGGAAATACCGCATACCATTGCCGAACTTGATGTGAAATTAATAAATTATTACAACCGATTCAATATATCTTCAAAGGCACGATATTATGAGATGAGGGGCATAGAACAGTTATATTTTCAAGTGACGCTCTTCTAAATACTTTGATAAAAAGTACATATATTTATATGAATGGTACATTTTTGGTAAGCAATATTTGAGATTTGATATTATACAATGCTATATGGCGGAAAGTAAAGGAACTACGTCCAAATAGATTGCGAGAAGTCCGCTCAGTTATGAGTGACTATGAACGCGCAGCCATGACGAGTGCAAGGGAGATTTTCCCAGACTCGCGATTAACAGACTGCTGGTTTTAATCAAGTATGTATAGATTTTCTATAATAATAAAAATAGAGATGTTTAGTAATCTTGGAAGATTTTCAAACTCACTTGTTAATTTACATTTAATATTATTATTTATATAGGCCGTATTAAGACGTTGAAAAGTTCTTCAATTAACAGAAGCCCCAAGAAAAGTTCTCAGTCTTATAATGGCCTTACCGTTGGCTCCGGCTGATATGTTCGAGCAAGGATTGCAAATAATTCAAGATGAGGCCGATACAGTACCGACAGAATATCCTGCTGTGTTACAATTTACAGTTTATTTGAGACGTACTTGGCTTTCTCTAAAAGATAAAGTCTCTGTTTTTGGTACATCTATACGGACGAATAATTTTGTAGAGAGTTTTCATTGTACGATTTTTCGCAAACTTGGTAGAATTTATCCCAATATTTAGAATTTTCTTCGCATGTATTGCTTATTATTGCTACAGTTTTTGTGTATTATCGCATAAATATATTTTTACAATATGATTTTTGCAGACAATTGGCTTTATCACCAATCAAGAAATAAATATTGCAAAACTAGCAGAAGGACTAAGTAAGTGTAAAAAGAATACAAACTCGATTTAATATAAACCGCGACAAACGCATTGCAAGGACGTAATCTTTATTGAACTCGGGAAGATATTTCGTATTCTGTTTTATTTAGATAAAGTCTTATGATAAAAAACATATACTTTAACAATTTTACAATTATTTTTTGAATTGTTGTATATTTGCATGCGTATAATTACTTCAAAAAAGATATATGTATATGTTCAATTATTTCAAAAAAGTTATACATATTCTATATATATTCTATATATTTGTTCTAGATATTCATTAAAAAAATTTCTTTTTGCGCTCAGCAATACAACACAATTAATCAAAGAGAATTTTGGTTTGTTTTAAAATCTTAATTTTTTAAATATATATTAATATTTTGTGGCGATTACATCGTCACATACATCCCGAAAATTAACGATCAAAAACACTTATACAAATATGGCCACACATAGGCGAAAAAGTACCGAGACACAGGTAAATATAAATAAAAACATAACAGACGAGACAGAGAGAGACGAAAGACGAGAAGCACAGAGACAAATATCGAAACGTTAAGAGACAAAGGAAATAAACAAACATAAAATTCTCGAAGCCTCTCAAAGCTTCTCGAAGGTCGATTTTTGAGGCAAAAGATATCAAGAGCGATTTTGCGTTCAAAAGATTTGGTTATCGCGGACGATCACCGCGTAAGGACGTACATTGTAAATACGAACGATTATATTTTGCATCTATCTCCGAAATTATGTACAACCTCTTATAAAGACTTTTCGTTACTTGTAAATATACTCTACAGTTACATGTACTTAATGCCTCTCATTATTTTAATTCCTCGTATCGTTCGATTAATAATTCCTCGCGGCAGTTGAAGTGCTAACTCCGACGTGATCGCGAACAAGCGGGAATTCGCGATTTTGTTTTTGCGTGAGAGAGCAGTTCATTTTCTTACTTTTTCGACTTGTGAGACGATATATTCGATCGGACCCGGGAGTGAGAGTGACCAGCTGTGTAGTGCAAAACGATTTGGCATGGTTGTGACGCGGGACGACAAAACGGTCGGTTCACGCGTGGAGCCAGAAGCGCGGGCGCTCGAGCAGCCGCGAGTGCAAGTGTAGCAAGTGGCCCCGATCGCGATACAGGCGGCCAGGTTGGAGCAGCCGCCGGGGTATTTTTTGACCGTCCCCGAGATAAGCCGTGTTCACATGCGAATGCCGGAATTTACGCCGTCGAATCCGGAGCTCTGATTCAACATCGTCGACCGGAGTTTTCAGGCCGCCGGAATCACAGTCGATTCCACCAAGTTCGGATACGCGTTGACAGCTATCGGGCCGAATTATACTGCCGAGGTGCGGGATATTATTATAAATCCGCCTACGGAGCATGCGTATGAGACGCTAAAGACTGAATTAGTCAAGCGTCTGAGCCTGTTACAGGAGCATAAGACCCGAAGGCTCCTTAAACACGAGGAAATTGGAGATCACAAGCCGTCGCAATTTTTACGACACCTCCGCGGCCTTGCCGAAAACGTGGTTGGCGACCCCGTCTTGCGGACGATCTGGTTAAGCCGATTGCCGGCTTATATTCAACCGCATTTGGTGACGCGCACGGCGGATACGCTCGAGCAGCTGGCGGATATCGCAAATGCGATTGTCGAGGCGACCCGGGCACCAGCATTCCAAGTAGCCGAAGCGTCGAAATTTGTGACACCGCAGACGCAATGCGCGAGCGATCCCGGGACCTTGGAAGCCAGATTGGAGGTGCGACTGGCACAGATGCGGCTGGCAATGCAGCAAGAGATGGCGGAGCAACTGACGGCCATCCGGAAGTCGATCGAAGCGATTGGTGACGGTCGATATCGAGAAGAGGATCGACGTCGTTCGCGCCCTCGTTCGCGTTCGCGTTCGCGCCCGCGAGCGCGATCCAGCAGCCGTGGTCCGCCGGCCAGCGGAGTGTGCTGGTACCACTGGCAATTCGGAGCGGAAGCACGACAGTGCAGAGCACCCTGCTCTATGCAACAGTAGGGAAACGCGGGAGCCGGTCGTTAGAGGCGGCAAGCGACTCGGAACACAGTGCGCGCCGCTTATTTGTAACCAACGCGAACACAAAAGTAAAATTTTTAATTGACACGGGCGCGGATTTCTGCGTGTATCCTCGGAGAATGGTGCGAGGACCGCGACAGAGATCGTCCTACAAACTTTCGGCCACTAACGGCACATCAATTTTTACGTACGAGACAGCAACAATGATGCTGAATTTCGAGTTGCAACGGACGTTCTCATGGAGATTTGTGATCGCAGAAGTGTCAAGACCAATAATCGGCGCCGATTTTCTTGCGCATTATGGTCTATTGGTGGATTTGCGCAATTCTCGCCTCGTCGACCAGATGACGAGCTTAACCGCACGCGGGCGTTGTGTCCGATGCGATGTGCCCCAGGTAAAGACGATCACGGGGAGACGCAATATCATCGGTTATTGGAAGCATATGCGAACATCGCGAAGCCGGGAGGACATTTAAGAGAAGCGATTTATGCCACGCGACATGTCATCGAGACGACGCCGGGACTGCCTGTCGCGTGCAGGCCACGAAGACTCGCTCCGGATCGACTCGCGGCTGCGAAGAAGGAGTTTCGACGGATGGTGGAAGCCAGAATTGCGCGACCATCAATGAGCAGTTGGTCGGCGCCCTTGCATATGATGCCGAAAAAGGGCAAAAAGTGGCGACCTTGCGGCGATTATAGAGCGCTGAACGCAAGAACGATCCCGGATCGATAACCCTGTGCGTCACATACAAAACTTTGCGCAGGCCCTCGGCGGAAAAAGAATATTTACAACGATAGATCTAGAGTGAGGGCGTATCACCAGATCCCGGTGGTGGAGGAGCACATCCCGAAGACGGCGATCACCACGCCGTTTGGCATGTACAAATTTCCGTACATGTCATTTGGGTTACGAAACGCGGCGCAGACGTTCCAGCGATTTATCGACAAAGTTTTACGCGGCTTGGAGTTTTATTACGCGTACGTCAACGACATCCTGGTCGCGTCGGCATCGGAGAAGGAGCATCACGATCATCTGCGAGCGTTGTTCGAGCGTCTGCGAGAATACGGAATGCAGCAAGAGATGGCGGAGCAATGATCCCGTACATACCTTGCCATCAACTTCGCAAAATGCGTGTTCGGGCAGCGGAAGGCAGAATTTCTCGAATACGAAGTTTCCGACGGGGGAACTCGACCGCTGCCAGCGCGTGTGAAGGCGATCCTCGCGTGCCGAGAGCCAGGGACGGCAAAGGAGCTGCGGAGATATTTGGGCATGCTCAATTTTTATAGACGATTTCTGCTGAGAGCCGCTGAGATGTTAGCGCCGCTGAACGACCTCCTCCATGGCAACATCAAAGCGGCAATATTGTGGACGCCGCCAGCGCGGGAGGCATTCGAGGAATTGAAGGAAAGCCTGGCGCAGGCCGCGCTCTTGCGACATCCCAGGATAGATGCAGAGCTCGCCCTGTTTACTGACGCGTCAGAGCAGAGCATCGGCGCGACTTTACAACAGCGAGGCAGCAATGGCTGGGAGCCGTTAGCCTTCTTCTCAAAGAAGCTAAGCCCAGCCGAAGTAAAATATAGCGCGTTTGACAGGAAATTGTTGGCTATCTACCTGGCGGTCAAGCATTTCCGATATATGCTGGAGGCGCGCGCGTTCGCGATATATACGGATCACAAGCCGCTGGTTTACGCCTTTCGACAGAAACCTGAGAGAAGCACGCCGCGCCAGTTCCGCCACTTGGATTTTATCGGGCAATTTTCCACCGACATTCGGCATGTGACAGGCGAGGAGAACATCGTGGCAGATGCACTATCCCGGATTAAGGAGCTTCATTCTCCCATGGACTACGCTGCACTGGCGAAGTCGCAGGGGACAGACGAGGAGCTCGAAGACTACGCACGGCGGGAAACCGGACTGAAGCTGGAGAAGGTGCAGATTCCCGAAACGGGAATAGAAGTATACTGCAACACGACGACACCAACACCGCGACCGTTCCTGACAAGGCCCTTTCGGCGGGCCGCATTCAACCTCGTGCACAACCTGGCACACCCGGGAATCAAGGCGACGGGCAAGCTCGTGGCGCAGCGCTACGTGTGGCCGTCGATGAACACGGACTGCCGCAGCTGGGCACGTGCATGCGTACCTTGTCAGCGGTCTAAGATCTTTCGGCACGTCTCAGCGCCCTTGGGGAGATTTGCTGCTCCATCCAGCAGATTCGAGCACGTCCATCTAGACATCATCGTGATGCCAGTATCGCAAGGCATGCGATATTGCCTTACGTGTGTGGACCGCTTCACATGATGGCCGGAAGCGTTCCATCTGCGAGATCAGGAGACGCAGACGGTTGCGATGACATTTTATGAAGGATGGATCTGCCGATTCGGGGCGCCCGTACGAATAACGACGGACCAGGGACGTTAGTTTGAGTCCAACCTTTTTCGGCGGCTGAGCGAGCTGACGGGAGTGCAGCAGTTGAGGACAACGGCGTACCACCCACAGGCAAATGGCATGGTAAAGCGGTTCCATCTCCAGCTCAAGGCGGCAATCAAATACCAGCAGAGCGATCGCTGGACGGAAGTGCTGCCGACGGTGCTGCTCGGGATCCGAGTAGCGTGAAGAGACGACCTGCAGGCGACCGCAGCAGAGCTGGTGTACGGCCAGACGTTGAGGATTCCGGGATAATTCCTGAAGCCGACGGGCGGCGAGGACGATGCTGCCGATCTCGTAAGGACGCTGCGTGAGCAGTTCGAAAGGCTGCGACCAGTGGACGGAACCCGACACGAAGAGCGACGGCCGTTTGTTTACAAGGACCTAGCGACGGCCGAGCAGGTGTTTGTGCGGCGAGACGGGTCAAAGATGATGCTGCAGACGCCGTACGAGAGGCCGTACATAGTCGTCAGCCGAGGCGACAAAGTCTTTGTCGTGCGGATGCACGGCAAAGAGAAAACCGTCTCAATAAACCGCATAAAATCGGCATACTTGATTTCAGAGCATGACACAGAAGCGGGTGGCCTGACGGAGGCGACGGCGCGAGACCAGAACACCGAGGTCGAGCGGCGGAGCGCGCGAGAGGACGCGGGGCTGCTGCCCCGAGAGAGCGAGAGAACGACGAGAGCGGGGAGAAGAGTCCGATTTTCGGTCCGTTTTCAAGCGGGATTGTGAAGCTGGGACACAAAACGATTGGCACGAGCCGCGGAGCCCAAAGAATAATAAAAAAAACGAATTCGACACGTAACAATTTGTTATATATATTCTTTGATATTAAAGACAAATTGACGCAAAGAGTCTCAGACCGGGAGCGACGTGCGTTTGGGCAGACAGAACGACAAATACATTTAGATTAAGAGTTTAACAAGGCTCTGTAATATAAATATAAATATAAATATAAATTTAAAGTGTAAGACAGGCAATAAGAGCCAAATCGCGGATGACAGTGCGTTATCCCAACAAAACTAAATTTTTTCGTTAAAATTAAATACCTGTGCACAAGGCACCAAATTTTACTTGGTCACGGCCAAGATTTAAAATTGGAATAATCTCTACAAGAGATTTAATTCCATACATCCCCTGTTCCTCCCTAAGGAAATAAATGCGAGATAAAAATATAGATCCGAAAGTCGCAGAATCGGGAATCGAACCCGAGACCTTTCGCTTGCCGGGCGACTGCTCTTCCAACTGAGCTATTCAAATCCTTTCGATTCTATACTTTTCTCTGCTATATATATAATAATGTTGATAAACAAACGCCTTTAAGCCAGCGTGTATATATTAAAAGTTTTAACAAGGCTCTGTAATATAAATATAAATTTAAAGTATAAGACAGGGGATGGTATGCAATTAAATCTCTTGTAGAGATAAATTAATACAAATTGTCGCTCGTATATTAAAAACAAAGTGATAAATCTAAAGCCAACTTATCGAGCTGAATATTCGAGATGTTCAGTCAACTACCATTTATTACATGTATAAATTATAAAACTACAGTCATTAGATATTAAAACTAACGCAAATTAAAATCATTCTATAAACGTTTCGACCGCACGCGGTTTTCTTCAGTATAATTCTTGAAATATAAATTCATACAACTTCACATAATATCGGAATTTAATTATAATTATTCAGAATCGAGAGTCTTTGAGCAATTAACACGTGTTCTAATTCGTCATGTCCAACAATGTTCGCCTCGATATGATCTCTGATTTTTCTCAGATCTCGGATAGTTTCATCGTTAATATGCGAGAAATTAACCCGTTCCGTAGGCGCTGCGATTAATAAGAAATTAACGATTAGCGTATGTCTAAATTATAATATATATCCCCTACACTTGGTAATATGCTTACCTATCATCGTCCTTCTTGACAATTTTGCTATTTATTAACAGTTATTAAGGATGACACATAACGAACCAACAATACAGAAAGACAGCTCATTTTAAACTCTACTTGATCGGAGAGCGTGCGTGTTTATATATAATCTAATATCTATGTTTGACTCGTTAATGTCTTATTTGTCCTATTATTATTTATTGTTCGCTAATATATCCAAAATATCAAAATACGACTCGCTAAGTAACTCAGTATCTTTGTTTAAATTTAGTCCATTTTTTTGTTCCTTGATATGTAGCATCTCAGAAATGAGTCTTTTATAATAATTATTTTCTTTGTCCATGATCTTAACATTGTCCCAATTAAAAGTATGATGTTCATTTTTTATGTGTTCAGAAATTACTGAATGTTTCGTTGAGTCCAACCTAATATTATTTTTATGTTCTTTTATTCGCGTCTGCAATTGCCTCTTTGTTTGGCCTACATAAGATGCATTACAATTATTGCAACTGATCTTATAAACCACATTCGAATTGCATGGATGTTTAGTTTTATCTTTCTGTGCTTTAATAATATTATCCAGTTTGTTGAGACATCTATACCCTACAATACAATTTTTATTTTTTACCGAGGAAACAATCATTTCTGAGATCCTA